GGGCTTATACTCGAGTCAATAGTTTTTCCCAGTTTTTTGTGGTAAAATTAGGTACCTCGGCTTATATTCGGGTCGGCTTATACTCGAGTATATACGGTACTTATTTTCCACCATAATTTGCAAATAAATTCTTTCCAAATCAGCCAATGTGATTGTCTGGATTTTTTTTCTCATTTTGTCTCTCATAGTTGAGGTCTACCTATAATGCCAATTACAGGCCTCTCTCATCTTTTTAAGTGGGAGAACTTGCACAATTGGTGGCTGACTAAATACTTTTTTTGCCACACTGTATGTTTACCACTGCTCAAGGTAGGGAGACTCCCAATCTCCAAGCACAACTCCTCCTGTAGGTGCTAGCCAAGCTCATGTGATGCATAGATGAGAACAAAGGACATCCAATCAGCTGCACTCCCAACAATCCACTTTTTTTGAACCAAGATAAAACCAATACAGACAGTGGAAACACAGTGGGGGACTGGCAGGTAAACCTGTTTCACATTAAAGACAGCACTTATCCATTACCCGAATGATGGGTTTTATCTTGGTTCAATAAAGTGGATTGTTTAGAGTGCAGCCCTCCGGAAGTCCTTTTTTTTCTAACACAGTTTCAAAATCACTGCAGATCCCCCCCCCCCCCCTTCTTGTGATTTTTTTTGATTATTTAGACTAGACAGTCAGTCCAGCTATGAAAATACTATTAAATCAGGAATTATGAATCCTTAGAAGCTGGGGAAATACAATGATATTCAACTAGATGCCTTTTCATTGTTTTTGTGTACTGCAGTAACCCTTCCAAATTGCCTTATATTGCTTCTGCAAAAATTATAATAAAATAACTCTAATCAGTACCAAATGGCTTGTAGGTCATTCCAAAAAATACTTCTATTCTGAAACATATTGTATTCTGATAACTTTATGTGGTCCATACATGTTTTATTGTATTCAGTGGATTATTATTATTATTATTATACAGGATTTATATAGTGCCAACAGTTTTCGCAGCACTTTACAAAATGAAGGTAGACATTACAGTTACAATACAATTTGGTACAAGAGGAAACAGATTATTCCCTTTCCTCTATTTCACATGCCTTTATTTGTGTTTTCCTTCATATTTAAAAAAACAGACAAAACAGAAACATGACAACTGCTGTATGACACTGGTAGGGGTGCTTACATTGGACCCCTTCTACTTATGGTCTATGTTTTTAATACTTTTGCTGCAAGTGGTTAGCTATTCTGTCCGTGCCCATGATCTGTCCCAGTCATTGTCATTTCACTAAAAAAGTACAAAGTGCTTTAACCTATATCTACCAAACATAATTAAAATCCTTTATCTCATTGCTGTAACCTGTTGTTTTTCTATCAGTTATATTCAATACAGCATTGTAAAAAGCAATAAGGATGTTCAAAGTGCAGTAACCTATTCAAGATATCCACCAATTAACAACAATCTAATATTTGTACCAACTGATCTTTTCCAATCTCATTTGGCTGTGTTGTTTAGTGCAGTTTGGCGTCCAGTACCCTGCCTTATTGTCACCCAGTACCTTGCCTTACCAAATACATCCTATGGATTACTACAATTTGAATATGATTGTGTGACGGAGGGTAGACAGGACAGAACACACAGAGCAGATGGCAAACGCACAAAGCTTTATTGAGACAAAAATGACAGTCACTCAATGCGGAGATTGCAGGGAGGGTGACCTCGACAATAGGGGAACAGCAAGGAGAGGGCTAAAACACTTCCAGTCCAGCCCCAAGGGCAAAGGAAAAGTCTCTGTAGCCGATTGTAATACAACGGGGGGGGGGGGGTACAGCGCAGGAACAGTTCAGGTAAAACAGGGGAAAACATACGCTCATGGATCCAACAGGGTGCCCAGTCCCCAGGGATAAGATAGTAGGACACAGGTACCTGTTGGGGTCCGGAGTAGGCGAGTGGTCTCTCTCTTAGCTGGGTCTCAGGCAGGCTGGTGTGGGCGGTCTCCCCCCCTTTGGCTGGGGGTCTCAGGCAGGCTGGCTTGTGCGGTCTCCCCCCTTTGGGCTGGGAGTCTTTAGGCAGGCTAGCTGGTGCGGTCTCCCCCTTTGGCTGGGGGTCTTTGGGCAGGCTAGCATGTGCCCCTGTATCCTTGGGGGCTCTAGCAGGGTTAGCCATGAGGGTCCCGCCGCAGCTGGGATCCCTCGATGGCGGAGCAGCAGAGAAGGATGACTGGAGAGCCCGGCATCAGCCTCTTAAACTGATGCAGGAGGCTCTCTGGTCGCCCTGGCAACTGGGGGCGGGCCGGGGCCAGCAACAAGGCACGCCCCCTGGACACGGGCCGCGCTCTCGTGAGCGTGACCTTTGTCCAGGGACATCCGCAAGCGCGGGAACTCCCCGTGCCCGCGCTGCAGATGACAGGGCCGGGGTGGCGTCAGTCTGACGCTGCGGCCCGGAACATCACCGCAGGAGGTTCACACCTCTCCACGGAGAGGTGTGAACCTCGCTACCTTTTCCTCTCCGGCCACGCCGGAGGAGGAGAAGATAGTGACAGGGGTGGTGAAAGCCGCACCTTTCGTCCTGCTCGGCAGGATGAGAGGTGGAGGGGGGTCATTCAGCTGCACGGAGAGAAATGCAGCTGGAGACAGGGGATGACAGTGGGGGGCCATGTGACAATGGAATTTGGGGACATTTGGCAAGAGGACATGGAGGACATACATTAATTGAATTTGGGAAACATTTGGTACAAGACAGTAAGGGATGTATTAAGGATGTACTTCATTTGGGCACAAGGGATTAATGTGGGGATTAAAGCAGAAATTAATAATTGGCAGAGCACCTATACTGTGACAATTGCTTTTTGCAAATAGTTTATAGTTTATTGCCACTAAACCTTTATTGTTGGAAGATTCTATGCTTTAGTATGAATGCCTGATGCATAATGAACTTTAATGAACTTAAAAATAACTAAAAAAATGGTAGATAAATATCTAGATAAGTAAGAGAAAATCATACTGAATTAAATGCTGTATATTAGATTTGAATTGTTTCAAGTTGTTTTTTTATGAAGGGGATGTAACGGATATCTGCTGTATTTCCTTCCTGCATATTCCATACTTGCTGTGTCATATGGCTCTATAGTTTGTTGTTGTGTTGCTACCGTTACATGACCTAACATGTGCCCTTCACAGATATCTCGAAGAATTCCATTTGTGAGACTGCATAAATATAACTACCTCCTGTGAGATAACTAAGAAGACTTTGGATTGCATTTTCTACATATAACATTTGTTACAGATAACATTTTATAGACACCTCATTCTGTTTATCATAAACTTTTTTCCTGTTCTGTACGGAGGATTCTTTTTTTTTCAAACGAATTTGTTCTAGTTAGATGGTATCTTTTAGGACAAATTCATAAATAAATAAACAGCATTTTTAGTTTACAATGAAAAGTCAAAGTGGGCCCTAATGATCAATGTTTATGTAACAAAAACAATCTGTATTGCTGTATAGCAGTAAGAATTACATTTTTATTCTTCCAACTTTCAATTTGCATGAAAAAAGTTTAAATCTGATTAGTTGGCATATTTTATTTTATTACAGGTACTTATATAGTGCCGTCAATTTACACAGCACTTTACATATATATTGTACATTCACATCAGTCTGTAACCCTCAAGGGGCGTACAATCTACGGTCCCTAACCTACATTCATATATACAGATAATAGGGCCAATTTTGACAAGAGCCAATTAACCTACCAGCATGTCTTTGGAATGTGGGAGGAAACTGGAGTACCCGGAGGAAACCCACGCAGGCACAAGGAGAACATGCAAACTCCAGGCAGGTGGTGCCTGCTAACCATTTAGCCACTGTGCTGCCCTAAGGAAAGATTTACTTAAATTGGAGCACCCAGAATCTGGTGTCACTGTGTATAGTAGCCAATCAGCTTTTAACTTCAGTTTGTCCAATAAAAGTGTTGTAAACCTCAGATATGAAATATGAACAAAGCCTGCCCCTCTATAATATGTGCTTGTCTCAATCCGGAGCACTAAGTGTCATTTCTGACCACTGCATAATTCCTCTGCTATCTGCATGAGTCACTTCTGTGGAGTTTTTCTGACACCAAGAGAAAAATGGTGACGTAGAGGGCACAGCCTGTGATTGGCAGCCTCAGCTCTGTTTCTGTGAGCTGTGTGAAGGGGTGGGTTTGCTTCCCACCAATCATTTCTCAGACCTCTCCTCACTGATGTTACTTCAAATCCCTGCCCCTGCTTTTTAAAGCTGAGGGATAATATTTAAATTCTGCACTTTGAGTGGATGTAGGAAAAAAGATAAAACAGCTCCTGAAAAGTTCCTATGTGTCAACAAATCAGATTCCAATGTTCCTTAATTCAAAGCAAATAGCAGCACCTTCTCATGGAACTTGTATGTACTAGGTTACTTTATAAAAAATATATAATTATATGTATATTAAAGTATTTGATGCATGATGCATTTATATTTTCTTGGGGTAATAGTGACCTATATTCATTTACTTACTATCCCATCTAATAGTAGCTGTGCAGAGAAGCTGTTTATTTCAGGCATTTTTTGATACCTCTCTCATGTCACCACTGTCTAGCAATCTCTTGATAGCAGTTGTGAAAGCTGTATGTAAAAATAAATTAAAATATCCACTTCCATTGTATTGGCTTATTTTGGCCACAGTGCTTCATTGGGGTTTAATAGTTATTAATATATGTAACAGCCATACTAATTTAGAAATAATAACATCACATAAAAAACTAGAATCTGGAAATTTAAGCTCAAGCCCAACTAAAACTTTCATAATAGATAAACCATGGTTCAGGCATCTCAACTTAAAAATCAGCCACTGCAAGATACTGTATATAACACTAATTCCATAATTGTAATTTGTCCATTCACATAGTAAGCAACATTCCCTTGATAAAGTGTAAACTGTGACAGCTAGATGAAGACGGATGACACTGGAGCAGGGGCGGACTGACAACTCATGGGGCCCCCGGGCAATAGGAGATCATGGGGCCTCTGTGTCCTTGCCCAAACTCAAAAAAGCTTATGAAAAAAATACCAGGAGAATCTCATGGGGCCCCCTACTGACCCCGGGCCCTCGGGCAGTGCCTGAGTTTCCATATGATCAGTCCGCCCCTGCACTGGAGATATTTAAAGATAACGGCACTGGCCTACTGGATGTCATTTCTCCTGAAAGCAGTCTAAGTGGGTGAATTTTTCTTCCCCCTATCTACAGCAGTATATAGCAACCACTAAACGTATGCAATAAAAACTTCAGCGCAAAAAAAAAAACAACCTCCTGCGTACACTAGTGCTGCTGACACTTACATGTGTTTCCATATATGCACTAACATAAGATATCAGTATATAGCAACCACTGCCCAGCAACTTTATCACCTTTTCACCTAAAAAACATAACAAAGACTCCAAGCAACTGAATTTACAGTGATGGAGAATCTCCACATAAAATATAAATAAATGGGGTTGAACTCAAGAAAAAATTGGAGAAGGGCCAATATAAATAAAAGAGAAGTTAAGGTGCATGTGTGTGTTTTTGCGTGTGTGTGTGTGTGTGTAGGTAGGTATCCCTATGGGGCCAAATATCAAAGCCCATAAGTTCCTTCAGTTTTAGTCTATAGCAGAAATTTCAGAATATTATTAAAAACAGCCATGGCACATTAAGCATTTAACAAGATAGGTAATCCTCCAAATGACCAGGCAGGGAGTAATGCAGGCCATAGACGGGTCGTTTATCGGTCGAATTTTTGTCCGAACGAAAAAATCGGTCGATATTATTCACGCCGTTAGTGGGGCAATGCCGTCAGCCGTTTTTCGCGGATCTTCTCATTTCTTTTTATCGGTCATGCTGGAAAATCCACGAAAAACGTCCGTTTTTCGTTAGCATTGGTGGCAGCATCCATGGCAGCAACGACCGATTTTCCGTTTATCGGCCGACAATTCGGACGATAAACGACCCGTCTATGGCCAGCCTAACTGTAACTTGCAGTTAACAAAACAGGTGCAAAGTTAGAAGCAATAATGCAAAACAGGTTCAGGATGATAAAGAGCATTGGTACACTGCAAAAAAATTAAAGTTGCACAAACATTGACTCTTCACAACAATGTCTCTGTGGCTCAATTAGGGTAACATAGCATAGTCTCTATAAGTCTCTATAATGATAGAGACTCTAACTGCAAATCAAGAATTCAGTAAAACAGTTTAGAACACACACAGCTACTTGCAATTATCCTCATAAACAACATTCCTCTCGGCCTTTTGGCTAAGATCAAGTGTAGTATCTGTTCTTATCAGTGTCCAGTAGGGGTGATCCGCCATCATTCTTGCCTTTAGGCGAGGATGGCTGGCTGTATAGTACCCTTGCTGGTATGATGAGAACTCTGAAGGTTAGTACCAGCTGAAAGAGAAACTGAGGTGCCCACAGACTGTTGGGGCCTGGGAGTGCCCTCAGGGGTGCTGTTAGTAGCACATGGGGATGGGATCCCACGTGTGAAAAGTGCACATGATCACTGCTCCAAACACTTTTTTTTGCACTGCGCCTTTTAGGGCTAGGCCTTTTGGCTAAGTCCAGGGCAATTTGTTTGGTACAGGCCTCAGGGCCTACCCAGTGCGGAATTGCATGGCCACTTGTTTATTTATTTATTTTTCCTCACTGTTTGTCACCTTTCACTTTTATGTGTATTTTTTTTTCTCTTTTGGATGGAGGGTGTGGGTCCTTGGGCCTGTCCTGCAGTCTAAGGGGAGGATGGCCATTAAGATCCTTCCTCCCCTGTTCCCCGGGGTCTCTCTTCGGGACAGCTCCCTGGCCTAGTACTTGGTGGTCGGCTTTGGCTAGCCACAAAGAAAGGCCTTTTGGGTAGGTGGACCATGTTGGAAACCATTTGTCCCTGTCAGGGGCCTTGCACCCTGGGGGTTCAGGGTAGAGGTCCTATCCCTTCGGTGGGTGGACAAAACCACACCCTTAAGTACACTTTTTTGTGCTTGTGTTTTGCACTTGCACGTTTTTTGCTCCCTTATGGGTTTGTTTTTTCCACATCTCGGTGGGCTTAAACAAAAAATAATATCTCTCTCAGTGAAATCCAGGGTAGCTCTGGTAACACATATAAAAACAGCAAGGTTCTGGTGCACAGATAAGGCTTATCCGAAATACCTGGTATCAATATCAACAAGTTATACATTAGCCAACCGGCTGTAATGGCTCTAAAAGGAAGGACTGTAACTCTTAGATTCTATAGAAATATATTAGTTCTTGAAACACTTGGGATTCAAGAAGTGGCAGTCATCCTTGTAGCCAACTCTAAGTATTTGAGATGAGAGAGATTGAAAGAGGCTCCAGCTAACTGCATTCAGTTAAGAATTAATTTATTCCATAGAATTAAAAACACTCACAAAAAATCAGGAGAATACAAACCTCATCTGTGAGTATGTATAGGGCCACTACTCTCCATCCCGCAGGTACTGCCAGTAGTGGTCTCAGAGCGCCATGGAGATGGTGTGTAGACCTGGAAGAGACCACGCTGACCAGCAAAGAGCACACTAGCAGAAGTGACGTTACTGGAAGAGTCAAAGGACCGGAAGTCAACCACAGAGAGATAGAGACTATGCTCTTAGAGCCTCTAGCTCCTTCTACAGGTCTCTAGATCAAGGAGAGGAGTGGCCCTATACATACCCACTGATGAGCTTTGTATTCTCCTGATTTTTGTAAGTGTCTTTAATCCTATAGAATAAATTAATTCTTAACTGCTGCACTTGGCTGGTGCCTCTTTCTCTCTCTCTCTCTGGTACCACATATAGCTGACCACTTGGTGTACTCTCCAACCTTAAAGTGGTTGTAAAGGCTCAAGGTTTTCTACCTTCATGCTTAGAATGCATTCTAAAAAAAAAACCTTCTGTGTGCAGAAGCCCCCTCAGCCCCCTCCTGATCCAGCGATCTGGAGTCTCGGCTATCCAGGAACTCCCTCTTCTCATTGGCTGAGACAGAAGCAGGAAACAATGGTTCCCACTGCTGTCAATCACAGTCAGTGAGACAATGAGAAGAGAGAGGGGGCAGGGCCAAGCCACAGCTCTGTGTGTGAATGGATACACAGATCAGCAGGTGCCCCCATAGCAAGCTGCTTGCTATGGGGGTATCCGACAGAAGTAGGGGCCAGGAGATCCCCGAGAAGAGGAGGATCTGAGCTGCTCTGTGCAAAACCACTGCACACAGCAGGTAAATATAGAAATTTTTGTTATTTTTTTCTTTTAAACAAAAAGGCTTTTAGAATCACTTTAATCTTTTTGGCTACATAACAAATGACACCATATACAAGCTGCTAACGTGTTTTGGCATATAATATTTATGCTATGAGAAAGGCTGTGTGGCTGAAACACGTTGCTAGTTTGTATACTGTGTCATTTGTTATGTATCCATACAGATTAAAGTTGGAGAGTACACTGAGTGGCCAGCTTTACTTGTTATGGGGGGGCACCGCACTGGATTAGAAGAGCTCTGGTAGCAATTGGGGAGGTGCTTCCCACAAACTGGGATTTCCAGAGACGCTATGTGCTAGTAGACTCTGACCTGACTGCTGGCACACCAGTTCTGGCAGAAGAGGGCCCTTCACCTGGCTGCAGATCACTTGTCTAACTACCTCTGCCCCATCAGGTGTGGCCTCTCTGATCTAGGAATGAGGTAGAGACCTTTCTTCCCTGGGCACATTCAGGAACCCAAGAAGCTGTAGGAATAGAGTTAAAGGAACATACATCTGAACATGGTGAGTAAATGGGTGCTCTGCTACAATCAGATCAGACCACATTTGTGTTCATAGACAGTCTTTAATCTGAGCAAATGAACAACTCCCTTGAAGACTGAGTCATGCAGCTCATGGTTTCATTAAAACATTGATAACTTAGACTGAGCAGTCCCAGTAGTTTAGATGAACTCCGGAACTGCCAGACCAACAAAGCAGTCAAAGCAGTCATTTTGAACATAACTACTATTTTCTGTATATTGTATAACGGTAAAGGAAAGGTTTGATCAGAATATCCTTGTTTTTCCTAAATATTATTTCCTATGATACCAAGGATTGATTGGCTCAGTGGAATATACATGAGTTCATTTGTGGCCTATATTCGGGCATCTGCAGAAGGTATAGTTTAGAACCAGTTGCACCTTTCTGCTTTTTGAATCAGTAATCAAATCCTAGACACAAGATGTAATGCCCTGAAAATAGCAGTTTGAGTGTCGATTGCATGTTGAGTTCAATATGCAGTCAGCAATGTAGCTTCTCTATTTCTTGTTGGCGTGCAGTCCTGGAGCTGTACACCTGATACCACAGGGAGAGCTCCCCGCTTATGTGTCTACATTTACCTTGTTTGTGTTCACGGGAATGAGCACATTCCTGAGTTCTGCACAGCACCTGTATACTTCGCTGACACTAAACTGCTATATTAAGGATGTTTACGACTTCCAAATTTTGATTTGAAATACTCATTGAATATGACCTTTCATATGTAATTTTATTCAAGGTCTTTCAAAACCCTGTGCTTAGCACAGTGGGGTTGAGTTACTAAAACCGGAGAGTGCAATATCTGGTGCAGCTCAGAAATGTAGCCAATCAGTTTCTAAGTTCAATTACGCTTTGACCAAAAAAATCTAGAAACTGATTTGTTTCTATGTAAAGCTGCCCCAGATTTTGCAATCTCTAGTTTTAGAAAATCGTCTTTCCTGTTTTGCCATGTTAAAATGTATGTGTCGTTCATACACAATGGAGGTAGCCCAGGTCTAGAGTAAACTAACATTTTTTTATTTCATTTACACAAATTCCAAATGCAACATTGATCTCATATCCTTATGAACTGATACACGGTATCACATATTACTCTAGTACATATAATGGGTGCATCAAGTGTATCTACATGACATGGACAAGTTGTTAAATCTCCGAACTCTCATCCTTACCCACAATATGATTTTACTTTCAGTACAGTCACTGCAGGATGACGCACTTGGAGACAAACACAACAGTGTGAATGTGTTCACTCTAGTAATTAATGTTTGAGGAGAACTTAAGCTGACAGCTAGTTATTGACCTATCTGCTGTACTTCTGCTGACATAATAGTCACTGGAGGAGCCTGCAGATGATGAATGGTATCTGTGTCACATGCATGTCTGCCTATGACAGTGACTTTTCTTAAAGGTGAACTTGTGACTCCATCTAATACAGTATACTTTTTAATATTTGCCTCATATACCTTTCTTTTTGAAAAAAGAATTTCTGCCCACCTTCCAGGTATCCCTAAACCTGTACAAGTGTCATACTTTCCCATTCCATGTTCCAGAGCTGGTTCTTTCCCTCTGTGTGTAGCCACCGGCTTGCTAAATGTTTGTGAAACGCGTCCAGCTGGCCCTCCCTGCATTATCTTAGTGTGTTTCTCTGCATCTCTTGTGATCCCCAGTGTTCCAATTCCTTACAGCTTTTCTCCTAGTGTGCCCCAACTTGTTTCCCGCCTTGCTCCCAATGTGTTCCAGTTAATTTTCAGCCTTACTCTAAGTCTGTCTTAGCCTTCTCCCAGCCTATTTCTCCTAGTGTGCCGAAACCTGCTCCCTGCCTTGCTCCCAGTGTGCCTCATTCTTGTCTTCTTCAGTCTGTATCCTGCTCTTGTCAATGTGAATCCCTACCTGCATTTCCTCTTCCTTCACCTCCATGTCTCTCTTTGCTCATATGTTTGTTACTTATTTCTCTTCACCAATTTGTTTCCCTTGTGAATTCCAGCCTGCCTTTTTACCTGCACCTGTTCACTCCCAGCCTGTGTTTTGCATTTGTCTCTCGGTGAGTCCAGTAGCTCAGGGCTGCAAGAGACATTTTTGTGGTCTGCTCGGGTGAGCCAGAGTACTGCAACCTGGATACTACCTGCAGTGCAATATCTCCACCTCTAGTTGAAGTCCAGGTAATATCTTATACTCTGTGCCATGGCCCTTCTCAGGGCTCTCACTTACGCTAAGCAAACAGCCAGCCACGTCCTCTGTGTCCACTCTGTGGCTTTCACCACCATCATCCTAGCTGCCATCCTAAGTTCTGGTCAGCCAGTCTACCCCTGGTAACAGTTGTGACAGCAAGTGCGACACATAAATCTTGACCTGCAGCAGAATCAGCGGCTTTGACATAGCCCCATTTTGTAAGGTTCACAGCCCCTGACTTTCTAGAAGTCATGCTAACAGGCAGAGAGGCACATGCTTTCCATTGTGAAGGCCTGTCAAAGATCTTGACTTTGCCTCTGTTTCAATATATACACTCATCGGCAACTTTATTAGGTACACCTGTTCAATTGCTTGGCAACACAAATTGCTAATCAGCCAATGACATGGCAGCAACTCAATGCATTTAGACATGTAGGTGTGGTGAATATGACTTCCTGAAGTTCAAACCGAGCATCAGAATGGGAAAGAAAAGGGATTTAAGTGACTTTGAACATGGCATCGTTGTTGGTACAAGCCGGGCTGGTCTGAGTATTTAAAAAAACTGCTGATCTACTGGGATTTTTATGCACAACTATCTCTAGGGTTTACAGAGAATGGTCAGAAAAAGAGAAAATATCCAGTGAGCGGCAGTTGTATGGCCGAAAATGCCTTGTTGATATCAGTGGTCGGGGAAGAATGGGCAGACTGGTTGCTGTGACATTCAGATGGTAGGGTCAGAATTTGGCATAAACAACCTGAAAGCATGGATCCATCCTCTCTTGTATAAATGGTTCAGGCTGGTGGTGGTGGTGGTGTAATGGTGTGGGAGATATTTTCTTGGCACTAGCAAGGAGTACCTAATAAAGTTGTTGGTGAGTGTACATAGCACCAACAAGCACATGGGCCTAGGGGCCTCAAGGGTGTGCAGATGTGTTTATGTCAAGAAAGTAAGTGTATGCAGGCAATTCTACCGGGGAATACTAAACATTAGTACATTGAATATGGAAGCTAGTAACTTTTGGGAATGGCATATTATAGTATTTCTGCTTTTGCAGAATCCATTTGATTCCTGAATAATTTGCATTTGACTTGGGACAATATTTGAAAAACAGTGTTGTTGGAATAAAACTACAAGAACTGAAGAGCTATGCTTGCTCTACTTCACCAATCATGAATGGTTGTGTCAAGTATACCAATAGATATATTTTGTAATATGTAAGTCCAGCCAAAATTGTAAGGTAAATGTATAGCAAAACCTTCTTTTTATATAGAGTATGGAAGGACTGAAAACCATGCCAATTCAGTTTTGCTGTCTGTGTCCCAGAAACATAGCAAGAAATCTCCCCAATTGAAGGGAATTCCTTTCTTATACAGCTGTCCCTAAAACAGGTGTCCCTATTCAGAGACTTCCCCTTACCTCTTGTTTTGGGGACAGCTCTATTATTTTGGGTTTCCTCTAACTTTTACTCCCGGAGACAATGGTTACGAGCAGAGAGAGGTGAATGTCCCCAATAGGGAAATAATAACTTGATGGAGAGTCTAACCCAGTGGTGTCCAGTGTTTTGACTTTCCTGGGCTGCGTTGGAAGAAGAGAAATTGTCTTAGGCCACACATAAAATACACTAACAATAAGGATGGTCGATGAGCAGAAAAAGTCAGACAGATCACAAGTTAACGATCACTGATATAGATAATATACCTATCTGAGTAATAAATCTTCATTTTTTTATATAATGTTTTATTATAAAAGTAAAAGAGGGCAACATAAAACTAGTGCGATATTTGACACTCTTTTTGACAAACTAACACATCAATATCTGGTGGGATGGATGGAATAGCAATTCTCAATGAATTCTCAAGGTGTTCATCAGATATTCTGATTCCAATTTTGCCTTTTGTGTGCTTCATCCTTGAAAATAGTTGCTCACAAATATAGGTACTGCTGAAAACTGATGACATGAATAGGGCATGATTGTGAAGAGTAGGATATTTTTCTTTGGGAAGATAAAACTCATAAAAGTCCAGTTAAGGAATACTGTCAATTTTTTCTTCAGCTGCATGTATTTACTAAGTGTAACATTTTTTTACCAAAAAATCAACATTTTAAAGAACGTTTATGATTTTGTGTTGGGCCACATTCATGACCATCTTGGGCCATAGGTTGAACACCCCTGGTCTAACCATTCCCCACTATATTCAAAACTAAAAAAAAAGTTTTTCCTAGCAATACATATTAACTCCTTATCTTGGAGTCATTCACAGGAAGAAAAATCTTCCAACAATGAAAAAAGTCCCATGTTTAATAGTTTATACTAGAAGGGGTGTCCTCATTGGCAGATTTCCCTTCACCTCCTTTTCCAGTGACTCATATTGGATATTCTTTCATTTTCAGTTCTGATATCAACTGTCACCAAAATGGAAAGCAAAGAGGAATCTCCCCTGTGAAGAAAGTCCCATGATCCAGTTCTACTGAGTCATTTCCATAAACTGTTCCACTAGAAATGCATCATGTGTACTTTCTGATACTTTATCATCTGACTGTCTTTTTTAACGTCTCTGCCTGAATTTTCTCTACATATATATCATATAGGGAAGACCACCAAGTCTGATTCCATATTTCTGGATTATACTAATTATAGTATCAAGGAGATCAAAGACTGACTAATTTTGAGAATATTTGACAACCCGCAACATTTTCAATGTAAGCCAAAGACATAGCAACATTCTAAGTATAAAAACAATCACTGAGGACAGATAAAATGGGATATATCAAACAAAATGATTTTATAACATGTCGGGAAAACCATTGCATGAAGACATTCATTCAAGTAATTTTGAAAAACGTTATCAGTACAAAAAATGGTTTGGCACAGAGGGCACTTACAGCTTAATAGTGAAGGCTAGTACACACAGGTAGTTTTTTTTCTTTTGTTTACCCCGTGGGCTGAGGAGCTTGCGAAGAACTCACTGTACTGACATCACATAGTTCTTCCCACTGAGCAATTGTGTTCTGACAGTGAGACTGCCCACTCTGCCAGAGCACAGCAGTCAGTGCTGATCGGATAATTTTCCAGTATGCCCGTCTGACAGGCTGCTGTACACACTGGCTGAATGTCGGACAGTTTTTGTTGATGATATTCGGCCCATGTGTAACAGCGTTTCCTAGTATAAGCAATCAGAAAGGATGACCAGCTACATTGGAATCAGTGGAATTATACTAAAAACTTTAAAATTACTATAAAGAATATTCAAAGAATGTTCCTTAAATCTTGAAAATCTTCGCATTTATAGCCACCTGCCATATACCAAGGAGTAACAATACATGGGATCATTCATTTCTTTTTCACTGTTTATAATGACAGCCTAAAAGTATCCACAGTTATTAGGTGATCAATTTGACAGGTTTATTTAAGCATGCATTTGTATTCATCTTTCAAAAAAAAGGAACCCTCACTAATAAGTAGTAACGTAAAACTTTAGAAACTATTGCCTCTAAAGCCCCATACACAAAATGAGAATATTGGATGAATTATCGGCCATTTTTTTTGGCATGCTATTGAAAGTGAATACTGAAAATTCTTGTACGACAGAATAAAAATTTGAAAGTGATGTAATGTATTGAATTTGTATTGGATTTTTGGATGCAAACTGTGCTGATTAGATGCAAATTGTACAATCTGGTATTACGAGAAACATTTTGTGCTTGTCCCTTTGAATAATTTCAGACGAAAGCTGTGTACTCACAATCAGATTATCACACAATCACTTCGAAAGCGATATTTTTCATACATTTTTCTAATCGTGTGTAGTAGGCTTTACTAAAGTCTGTCAGGATTTTTAGTATCTGTTTCTTGATTTATCTTCTAATCATTAGGTATTGTCAATCATCCAAAGCTATTGGTGAAAATAGTATTATGTCTAATGAGAAGAATTCAACAGTTATTATGCTGTGGGTGTTTTTGGTTGGTTTTGGGAACCCTAATTACTTCATCTGCAAAGTCAAGATCATTTATACATTAATTTTAGTAACAATACACAAAAAAGGTTTTGTGACGACATAATGTCATTAGAGCGCTTTAAAAAAATTCCTTTCATTTTATGGCATTGGGGGCTGTGAGGGAAGTGAGAGTTGATCTTTAAGTGAATTTTATAATTTACAGATTTCTAATTGTTTGGGATTGGGTTAAAAATTATGCAGTTACACAACAGTTTCCAAGGTCTATTGTGACAGCTTATATGTAAACTTATCTGTGTCACACACTGACTGAGTACAATAAAATACTAATAGAAATGGGTTCCTCTAGTTAATAACTTTATATGGAGGGTGTGGTTGGAGCGCTAGACTTGGCATATTGTTACATAGGTATTTTTACCAAATTTGGATGAAAAACTTTTGTATTCAGCTGGTTCAGCCAAGTCTGACAACCAAGGTCAATTTTCAGACCATAAGAAGGACAAACACAAAATAATTGCCAAAAATGCTGCTAAACGGATCTGCTTCAGCATGCAACTTACTGATTTTGCCACGAAAAGAAAGTTAAAAATATAGTATTTTACACCCTCTGACTCCTGTCCTTGTTATAACTCTTAGGCAGACTCTAACTCCCCACTACCTAAAACCTAACCTAAACTCTTAAAAACTCTTAACCCTTAACACCTAATTTCTGACCTGTAGACCTTAGTCATAAAACTGAACCCCCAACACTAGCCCTAACCTAACCCTTAAAAGGCAACTCTTTATTGTTGTTTGCGATCTTCTATTGAATGTACACAGAGCTGCACATGTGCATCAAAGTGAACATTCCTATCACATTGCTATGGTGCAGGAACGAATGACTTCCTTGCACATGCGCACGAGTCATGTCATCCACTCTAGGCCAATCAAGAGACCGAAGACCCAGCACCCACAAGATGCCTGTGGATAATATTCCAGAGGCCGGCGATGAATCTAATGGTTGCATTGATGGAGGGTGGAGGTGAGTATTCTGACTATGTTAGTTCCTCTTTAACTATTATTTAACTCTAATTAATCATAATTAACTCATTCCTAACCATCTGCTGATTTTTTTCTTATTTCTATTTTTTTAGGCAGAAATATTTGATATTTTTTCATTTGTATTTGATTTGTTTGATAAAATATATAAAACAAAAAAAAAAGCCTTTAATTCACTGTAAAAAAAAACCTTGTTTCAGAATCTTTATTTTAGTATATTTTAATCAGGGAAACTTATAGAACACAATTTATAGTTTTTATTTGCAGCCACTGGTCAAAGTAGCAAAAAGTGCATTTTTTAGGTTGTGTTGCCTTTTTGGCATTAGGTTCCTCTTCAGAATACTTAATAAAACATGCTTACCAGAGCAATTTGACCTTCTATACAAGACAAGTCCATATGCATTTTATTGTAATGGGTCCTCCGTGGTAAGATGTAATACTTATTATATTCACTTCTTCTTTCTGGTCACCCTCCATTTCTCCAAAGTGTTCATAAAATGAAAAGCCAAGCATAGTGTAAAACCATTCAAATAAAATTTTGTTTAAAAAGTACCAAAACACTCACAAAGAAAGAAATATATAAGCTGGTCCCAGGAATCAAACGGTCCATTTCTGGGCTCCTATTAAGTGATGGCTTCACAAACATCAGCTAGGTCCTACGCATTTCGTTATAAATGACGTCTTAACTGTTTCACATATTATTGGATGGTAGACATATATATTTTCATGTATATTTGAGTGAATTTGCTTGTTTTTATTATTTCTCTGTACACACTGGATTTTATTTTTTTTTTCACTTGACTTTATTTGTTTGTCTAAGCACAGCACCTATTTTTAAGGATTGATTAAACAATTAATATCTGTTGGTGAGCTAGCAGCTGAGATTGTATAGGACCTGGTAGTGCGATTTCACCTTTATTACTAAAATAGTTACTGAATACATTGAGTGGAATGTTATTGGCAGAGTACAACCTGCATCCTAACAGATGCAGTCATAGTTTTGCAGTGCTATTGTATTCAGATAGGAATGGCATCCATGATAATAATTGACAATGAAGATTCCTCCATCTACGCTGTTAGCTTGGATAGGGCATTTGATTGATTTTTGGTGCAGTTAACTGACTGTAGTCACATGAGGTCAGAGAGGAGCTTGCATTTTGTTATTATGTCACAGTAGGATTAAGTGTTAACTGTTAGGGAATGTTAATTGTTAAAATTACATTTTAAGGCTCAGGTGTAGGGGGACTAAGTGTTACAGCAACCTTGACGTAAACATTATATAGCCAAAAACTGACCCTTTCCTGCTGCCTGCATCACTCAGTTGAAGAGGAATCTTTTGCTGAAGTCTGCAGTAAAAACTATATTTCCAGGAGTGTTGATCTCCTATGTCCCCTGCTATACTCAATGGTTCCTTCCTCTGTCCTCCACATCACAATTGTGTCCTGTAGTGATGTGAAGGTTGGCTGGGGAAACCATGAGTGCAGCAGGGGAAATACAGGAGATGTACAACCACCTTGTTGGAAAATTTCAGCTCAATCAGCACCGCTGGCTATATCTGGCAGCACTGATC